TCATTTAAAGTAAAGTTTAAACAATGTTAACAATATTTATACTGTTTAGATGTTAGATTTTTATTTTATTAAGCATACTCCGCAAACTGTGGAAACAAGTTTTATAAAATACATAACCAAAACTAAAAATATTATCAATGTCAAAATGGAATGCTATTTAATATTACTAATAATAATATACTGCTTTAATAATATGTTATACATATTGTAATTCTATTTTAAAAAATATAATTGAACAATACATTTGATTGACTTGACTTGAAATGTTCACTTTTGTAAATATAAAAAAAAAACTTACAATATTTGTACAGATTAATAGAACGAAGAATAATGAAACGAAAATGATAATATGATCTATACCTACACTAAATGGAAGTAATTTAAAAATCCATCGGGATGTTATGATAAATTTTTCAACTTAATACTGGTTATTTAATTACTGGAATTAAATTTCATTTTATGACAATAAAATTTATGGATGTGGCAACTTTTAGTTAACTCGAATGAATAAACTCAATTCCAGAGCACTGTTTCCAAAATCAAGCATTTGTTTGACGCATGCCTGACCACAGATAATACAAGTAAATGTGCAAAGAGGCCTAACGTTAACAGCGTTTGAGCAGGAAATTTTGAATGTATTTCTAAAAATCTATTTAGTTTTAAATGCATCATTTAAAAAATCTCTAGGCATATGAGCACAGACTGGAATGCTCTATTAACAAAAAATACCATAAATGGATACGCTGACAGTTTTTTCGCTTTTTTTTTTTCGGGATGTCAACTTTATACTACAATTTCTAAAGTGATGTTTGTAAAAAAAAAAACTTTACAACCGATGGAATTGATATGAAATAAATACAATAATTTATCGATTCGAAAAGTTATCCCGATTTTGATTTTAATTAAACATGTATTTTGAATAGTTTTATATTTTTCATTTCGAAAAATTATCAACTTCCCCTAATTTGAGATAATGTTTTTTTTTGCAGATCTATTTTTCTTCTGTATCCCAAACAGCAGCTATGCGGTGTACGTGGCTAGTGGTGATAGTTCCACTGTTTTCGGTACAGGAGGTGCCGTGGCCTGCACCAATAATGGCCCGTAAACTTGGGGCTTCCGACTGGCCCCAACCCTGAAGAATCCGCGCTTCGCTGCCACTATCAGTAGAATTATCACTGACAGCGTGAATGAGAGGACCTGCAATATAAGGTTTTCTGGTTAAATTTATTCTAGAGCCATCCGTGCCTGCGACTTTGTCCGCGTGAACTTAATCATAGCTAAGAAATCTATTTTAAATAAAAATCATGTAACAACCATAGCGTGATTTAGAAAACTAATAACACCATCTATCGATTGTTATTATATTACATAGCGGCCCGCTCTGGCTCCGCTCGGGTCTTTAACAAAAATTTCAACGATATTTGACGTTATTTTATTTTATTAAATAAAATTTTATTAAATAAAATAACACTTCTTGTGGCGTAACTATAATAGTCAGACATATGCTGTCGCGATACTTTTCCTAAATAATAATGTGTTCTACAAAGTCGTAGTACATTATTTTATCTATCATCAATAGTTTTTGCAGAGCATGCGATGTAACGTATATTTTAAGTAATTTTTTTACACCTTGAGTTACATTATTGGAGTTTTATTAAGGGTCCCTATTTTTTTCAAAATAGGTTATAGCCTATGTCACTCGGGAATACTGTAGCTTCCAAACAGTGAAAGAATTTTTCAAATCGGTTCAGTAGTTTCGGAGCCTATTCAATACAAACAAACAAACATATCTTTCCTCTTTATAATATTAGTATAGATAGACAGGTAAACGAATTTACAGTCCACTTTGTTATCGTCTTGTTATGCCAGTACTACTAACTTGGATTTTTATCGCTGGGGAATCCTTTTACGGATACCCGGTCGAGAGGGGTAATAGACCGGGTTATGTCGGACTCCGGCGCCTCTAGAGAAGAAGAGAGAGAAAGTCCTCCTCTTCTTCCACTTCCCTAGAATTATTGAGAATATTCCACACATTTCGAGTATTGTGTTTCCGCTATCTGACAATAGATAGCGTTGTACTTCTCGATCGTTCGTACACTAGATACTTCGTTCAACTATTCGGCGATAGATGGCGCTACTATTACCGGCGTAACAATAAATACATTTTATTACTGGAAGAAGCATCAGAATAAAAATATAATTTCATGTCTTTAAAACCAAAAAATCATCATTAATTCATGCATGAAATTAATTCAGCTCATTAATTTTCAACTACATTATTTTGTTTTTTTTTTATACGTGAAATGACAAATTCGGAACGAAATACATTTCATACGTTTTTTTTTGTTAACGCTTATCATAAAATTCGTCTGGTAGTACTTGTTATCTGGCCATTCCAATGTTTGATCTGTGCTCTAAAAAAAAAACAACATACCTATGGTAAATGTTAATCAGTAATTGAATAAAAATCACGCGCCTTTGTTACGATTTACTTTAGAAAAAACAACAAAGAAGGTGAGGTCTGCTAAAACAAAAGACGACCTTTTTCTTTTCTTCTTTTAGATCTTTTTTGAATAGATTCTTTGAACTCTACTTTGTTCAGTTTTATTCTTAATGACAATTCTAATAATATATTCCTATTAATTCTGTTTCGTAATAAAAGTAGGAACAAGTAATTAATAGAAGAATTTTAACATTTTTAAAAATTTGGGATTTCCGATTTGCTAAAATAACAGATTAATATTTTTTTTTAGTCATACTTAAAGGTATTTCTGTGTTGATTGATTTGCTGAGACGAATATCTGACAAAACACACACTTTTGTAAGAAACATAAATACATTTTTTAGAAGAAAAAAAAACTAGATAAATTAATATATAAATAATATTATCGACTTAGCCTATATGGGTCTGCTAAGTCTATATATTATATAGTAAAATATATAGCTAGTAAGTAGCTATAATTGGTTATATATTATATTAGTTATATATATTATAATAATATTAGGTAGGCGGTTATTGTCTCTTACAATATCTAAAGCCAACGTTAGAAGAGGATGAACAAATCTTCATGTTTTCAACAGTGTATCATTTAGTTTATACAATAGAATTATTTAAAGAATTGGGACTGAAACTTGCTGGGCAGGTAAGGACTCGCAATATGCGCCCGAGTTTAAGATCGTGGTATTTTATTTCCTGTCTAATAAAATTAACACGAACATTGGATTTTCGTAAATATTCATTTAAGTTAATATATGTAATTAATTCGCCATCGAAACAGACCTGTTTTAATAAGGTGTTTAAAGTACTGCCTAAACCAGTCTATAGTGTCAAGGTGTCTGCTATCAAACGAAATCGCAGTTCGAGACAGCATACATGTTTTAAGAGATGATTAAATCGGTAACTTTCTCTTACTCAAAATTATTTTTTAATTTAGACATGTGTATAAAAATAAAATATTTACTAAGCCAAATACTACCTATGCGTACCTAGTGTACCCTGATTAACGTATTTAATTTCAAAACGGCTTAAAACACGATAAAGCTATGGACAACTTTATTACATACCATTGAGATCCCGAAGGTGGTGATTGCGTCGTAAGTCAAAAACATTTCCACTGTTTTCCAAGTCTGAACAATTACACAAATTAAGTAAGCATAACATAAACACGCGTGTTTATAAAAAAAAGAATCGTAACTACGTTCCTCGTGGTGTCACAAACAAAACAACTGACAAAATGATAATGACTGACAATGGATTTGCGTGTCAAAAGAGCGAGAGCCTTGTGTGTTGAAATGTCAACACAGAGCGACACTGTGTGCGTCTGTATCGGCTTAGTTTGATAGAATGAATGAACAGCGCAAGCGACGTAGCTAGTTGGAAAGCCTATCCCCGATGTACAGTACGGCAACGGCGCGCGCCCAACACTCGAGACGTGCTTCGCGTGCGTGCGCAAGCGCCATTTTGAAATTTTTCGAATTTTATCAAAACATAATATTTTACGTGATTTTTATTTAATATTTACCGTTCCCTTATATATTAATTCGGAAAATTACGCTGTTACTATTGATGTCGCTCCTCTAATTCACGAAAACTATTTCATATTCGAAATCTAATAATTTAATTGACAGTCAGTTAACATCCTTTCTTAATGTTAAAGTGAACTGCATTATTGCAATGGTTCCGAAAAGTGTCACAGCTCTGTAAGGAATCGACGAAACAAAAGTGTTGCTGCTTTTTATTTTCTGTATTTTTATAATCTCAAAAAAAAAAGTGTACAAAATGCATACCTACCTACGTACCTAAGAGGCTTATTTAAACATAATTAAGTCATCAATATTTCATAGACATCATTCATATTCCATTTGCGTATAATGATTTACAAGGTGTCGGATGTGACGTCCTTTTGAGGACATCAAGAATTTATTTACAGTCTCGACCATGCGTTAGCATAGTTTGCATACCTTAGTGGCAGTGACGTCAGCAATTAGACGTGCCAAAAGTATAACTGGCCGATAACAAGACACTATAGAAAAAAACTTTGATCGCAATTTGACTTAAAAGCAGTACCTATATCACAATTATTTTATCCTTTGGTAGGACCTCTTGTGAGTCCGCGCGGGTGGGTACCACCACTCTGCCCATTTCTGCCGTGAAGCAGTAATGCATTTCGGTTTGAAGGGTGGGGCAGCCGTTGTGGATGTCTATGGGCTCCCATAGACATCCACAACGGCTTAACCCCAAGTGGGCTGTGAGATCGTCCACCCATCTAAGCAATAAAAAATAAATAAAAAAAACCTTAAATTTTACTATAAAGTAATTAGTAGATATATCCTCGTTTTCCTTGAGCCTAGCGATGAATTAGTATTCACAAAAATGTACCGAAAACTTATTGTTTTAAAATCTAAAACGGCACAACGCCATCTAAACACAAAACCTTTAGTAGCATTAATAACTCTTTATTACTAAGACCATATTATAATCTCAGTAGTCTCAAGTAATCTCATTGTCGACTAGTTCTGCTGCGGTAGTGAATCTTTGAAAGGCGAGCAGTGATGGCGATTCCCTTCCAGGTCTCCTCGTTGATGTGATCGATGAAAGAAGGCGGTACCCTGAAGTCGTAGCCGTATCCAGGCAGCTCCAGAGTGTACGAGAAGGGGACACCAACATGCTGTAAAGGATATTTATTAATACGCTTTTATTAGCTTCAGACGTATGTATGTTTGTAGCGGAATCTTTGAACGCGATTTTGACCCCCTTCGAAATGTCGGATTAACTCGAAATTTGGTATACTTATTAAGGACCGAGGACAAATCAATATTAAAAAATTTTTTAAAATAAAATTGAGAAAATTGAAATTCAACTAAAAAATTAAAAATAAATAATAGTTTAAAAAAACAATAAAATACACTTTTACAGAAAATCCCACTAGAAAATAGAAAATAAATCTTAATAAATTTGAATTAAAAAATAGTGTAAGAAAAAATGATTTTATTGTAAAAATGCGTGGGGTGCTTTTCAGGATATTATCAAAATAACCTTCTACTCATATCTGTTCAGAAAATATTTATAACTACTGATACCATGCACCCCACGCTTTATTTACAACAAAATCTTTTTTCTTACACAATTTTTTTAGTTCAAAATTATTAAGAATATTTTTTTTCTATTTTTTAGTGGGATTTTCTATAAAAGCGTAGGTATTTAGTTAGTTTTTTTAAACTATTATTTATTTTTGATTATGAATTCTGAGCCGCTGACATTATTTGGTACAATTGAAACCTCTGCTTAATTTGTTGTTAAGGTAATTTATAATGATGATTTTTTTTCCCCTACCTATCTACATATATCTATTAGGGCTATCTATCATAATGAGAATCTATTATGGCTACACGTGTACTGGTGGGTGAGCTCGTGGGGCTGAACTTTACTATGCTAATATCTGCCCTAACAAGAGCAGTGCCTTGCCGAATATACCACCGAAACGGAACCGCGATCCACTGAGAAGATCCAGCGGGATACTCAGTGGGTTAAAGGCTAACATAATATGAGCTCTGAGTTAATAAAAGCAACAAAAACTAAATAACAATTATTATTATTTTACAATTCTTATTTAGTTTTTGTTGCTTTTATTAACTAAACAAGTTCTGATAGCGCCATCAAAAATCTGGGCTAACAAGCATAAGGCCACTTGATGATAGTAACTTTAATGAATACATATTTACAAGCGCTTAAATAAGCGCTTAGGTCTCACCATAAACAAGTCAAAGACCAAGATAATGGCCTATCACCATTCGAGAAAAACAAACCAGCCAAACCAAAACAAAAAGGCGTTAATTGGCACGCTGAACCTACAGAAAATAGATGACTTCATCTATCTGGGCGCTGATATTTACAGCAACGGGTCTTGTGAGGGTGACGTCAGACGGCGCATAAGCATAGCAAAGGGCGGCATGTCTCAGCTGCATAGAACGTGGAGAGATAGGAATATATCTCTTAAAACCAAAACGGGACTTCCGAACTCTAGTGCTCTCAATCTTTCTCTATGGTGCTGAGACGTGGACTCTGAAATAAACTGATCGCCACCGCATTGAGACCACCTTCGAGATGTGGTGCTGGAGGAAGATGCTACGAATCCCGTGGATAACCAAGAACAGAGAAAGATGGCGAAATATCTACCAGAGAAAAATAAGGGGAGGAGATGGTCACGACCCTCAGATATGGGGAATGCGACTCAAAACGGAAGAAATCATTTAACACCGTACATATTATTTTTCAGTTAAACCTAGCCGGTCATGAAAATGACGTGTTTTCTCCGATATCATCAACATTACAAACGCGACGAATACTAATTACGGTTAAATGCCGCCGCCAGATAAGAGCCTCTCTTATCAAACAGACAGCTTATCAAACGATAAGATAACGGATGCGACCATAAACTGACTGCGTACAATAATAGCTGCTTGCATACTTAAATAGTTAAAAATCTGTTTATTTATTCTTTTGGGAACGAATAGTTCACTACTGTAATTTTGATACAATCGTATAATAAAACTAGCAGACCCGGCCACACGTTGCTGTGGCTAAGGTTTTTGTTTCTAAATAACACGTGGCCAGATATTATAATACCTAATTTAATAAAATTAACTATCCCATGGTATTTCCTAAGCTCAAATTTCCTTTATATGTGTAGAAGGGTATGAAACTCAAAACGTTACATTTAAAAAAATAGTACCTATATAGTTCCATTGCAATTTTATAACTGTACGTACACCGCACATAGTGCTCGTGGTTTTTAATCGAATTCAAAAAAGTTGGAGGTTCTCAATTCAATTGTATTTTTTTATTCCTCAGCATTTTTTGGAGGAGCACCGATTTGGGTGATTCTCATTTTATTAAAAAGTTAATTCTTCTCGTGTGGTTTCATTTATCATGATCTGGCCAGTAGTTTTCGATTTAGTCTTAATAATGCATATTTAATTCATTACGTCTACATTGATTATATTCTCGTTTTATTTCGTTGAAGTCGGTTGTCTGTTAGCTTTTTTTAATATTAGTAATTCGTTTGTCAATGCCAATGATATAGATCAGCCTTTCCAAAGTGGGCGATAATGCCCCCTTGTGGACGCTGCAGGCCTAAAGGGGGGGCGGTGAGGGAACCAGAAAAATGGGGTTGTGTACAGGCTTGGGAGGCAATTTGCAATTTAATCTAGGAGGACTCTTAGACAACGACTGAGCTCTCACTATAGTGGTTTTTAGGTAGGTGAAAAAACGGGGGCGCTAAAAAATAATTTATTCTCAAAGTGGGCAGTTGACAAAATAAGTTTGGGAACCCCTGATATAGATGTATTTAGTGTACGCTCTCACCTGACCGTAATCCTGGGCGCTTCCTGACGTTCTGTATAGCACCAAACCGCTGTTACCGATCAGATAATATCCGGCTTCGGGTAATTTGACAGCGTCCATGGCAGTGCCCATCGCGGCAGCCACATGATGCAGCTGCGCCACATTAGGCGTCAAAGTGTTGTTTCCAAAACCGAATAAAACATAGTTTCCATGGCTATGAATGTTATTGTAAAGCTGTATACGTGGCAAGTACTTCGAGAGGATGTCCCGGACTATTCTTGTTTCTGGTTCGGAGAACGGCGCGACCCCTGGGTAGGTTTGGGAGCACGGATCTCTGGAGACCCCTAGGGTATTGAAGTCGACATCAAAGTTCCTATTCGCGTCGACTCCAAAGCAGGTAGTACTGACTTCTAGGTTGACGGAACGGGTGCGACGCCAAAGACGGTCCTGGTAATAGATGAATTTGATTATAATTTCACTTCTCATATTACTGGTGGTAGGATCTCAAGTGAGCTCGCGTGGGTAAGTACCACCACCCTGCCTATTTCTGCCGTTAAGCACTAATGCGTTTCGGTTTGAAGGGTGGGGCAGCCGTTGTAACTATATTTGAGACCTTAGAACTTATATCTCAAGGTGGGTGGCGCATTTACGTTGTAGATGTCTATTGGCTCCAGTAACCACTTAACACCAGGTGGGCTTGTCCACCCATCTAAGCAAAAAAATAATATATAAAAAAACTTCATTAGCCTGCGGAATTCAAATACGATATAAACACGGAGTTTAGTTAGGTTGGAATTTCACATGAAGCCAAATATTTTATATTAATGTAGAATTGGGAAAATACATTCCAAAACACTGAATTTCAAACCGAATAACTCGGATTTTAAAATATTTAGTTCCAAGTTTTACAAAATTCGGCTTATCGTAATGTCCTATGACGTCATTTAAGGGACAAATAAACGAGATGACCACTCATCATACACAATTACTAAAGGATAGACACATTTGACGTCATTTGATTTACGTTCAGTTTTACATGAAAAGTTAATAGCATAGCAATAATATATTCTATTTGCTTACTTATAACATAACTCTTTTATCTATACTATTTTATCTATAACTTACTACTTTACTATAACTTACTTTTATCTATAACTATTTTACCCAAAATGGTGATTCGTAATCGCCTAATTTTATTTTCACATTTTTGTAACAAAATGTATGGTATGAAGTCGTGAATGAAAGATTCGAAAAATTGATGCAAGGTTTGAAACTTACGTCAGTATGGCTAAACTCATAGCCATCGGGATTGACGATAGGCAAAATGATCCAATCGATGTCCTCAAGCAGATCCCTCTCATCATCTCTCAAGTTCTCTACGAGCCTGAAGATTGAGTACATCGTGACTGGAGTCGTGACCCATTCGCGAGCGTGCATCATGCCATCCATGAAGTAAACTGGTTTGCGAGGATCCTCGAAGTTTGTAGTCGATATCTGTAAAATATTTGTCTAGTTATTTGACACGCTCTTTAGCTCCGAAAGTTTGGGTGATTAAAAAATATGACGGATCCAAGATTTGGTTGCGGTGCGATCCCATATTTTTCTATTGTACAAAGAGACTAGGAATTATATAATAAATATAAAATTTATTTCTAGATCGTGTCATCGCCATGGCGTATATGGGATTTCTTTTTTTTTTTTAATGCCCTTGTAGGCAGACGAGCATACGGCCCACCTGATGGTGAGTGGTTACACTGTGAGCCAGTTTACCTTTTAAATATGTTATGGAATGGTTAAATATGGTAAGTACATTACGTGTAATACAAAAATAAAAAAACATTAGAACAACATTTTCTATAGCTGTACTGTAAAAATACCTTCAAATATTTGATGTCTCGCCCCTCGAAGCTTTTCCCTGCGTTGACTAGGGTCACCAAATTTGGATATCTAGCGGCAATTTCTTCCATGTATTGGTTTACCTATACAAAGTCGAAAATTCTTACTTAGTATATTTTCGATGTTATCTTTTGATGAGGAAGTCGTCATAGTATGGTATTTGTTAAACGTTAATTGAATCTTAATATATATATATATATATAAACTACGTGTCATATTGTTTGTCCGCGATGGACACCTAAACTACTGAACGGATTAAACATAATACATTTTTAAATATGTGTTTGTTTCAACTTAGGCCATAGGATGTTTTTTATTTCGATTAATGGTCGCAATATTTATTAATTAACAATACAATGATTTCTTATGTTGATTATTGTTATTAATTGTAAGTTACATAAGTCTAAAGCAGATGGCGTCTTAAATCAGTTTTTACAGACAATTGTAATGCTGTCTGACATGAATATCTCAGAGATGTCGCTGCGTTAACAATACCAACGTTTCACATAAGCTACAATTTAATGGCATAAACACCACGTGTTGCTGAGGCTAAAGTACAAGTGAAAATTTCGTAGTAAACGCAATACAGTGAAATCCAATTGTTCTTACTTTGTTTATTTTTGGTATTAGCATAGCCGGCCACGTGTTATTGAGAAACAAAAACCTTAGCCACAGCAACGTGTGGCCGAGTNGTGTTAACAATACCAACGTTTCACATAAGCTACAATTTAATGGCATAAACACCACGTGTTGCTGAGGCTAAAGTACAAGTGAAAATTTCGTAGTAAACGCAATACAGTGAAATCCAATTGTTCTTACTTTGTTTATTTTTGGTATTAGCATAGCCGGCCACGTGTTATTGAGAAACAAAAACCTTAGCCACAGCAACGTGTGGCCGAGTCTGCTAGTACTTTATAAAGTTTCGTTCTAGATTTTAGTGATTCACTCAAATTCGAACTGATACCGACATCGTTAAAAATATATTTGTACCTCAGCGTAACGCGGATAATCTTGAAAGATCATTCTGTTATTTCTGTTTCTCCTCCATTTTGCCAGATCCTCTTCGTGCTCCTTCAGAACTCTGCAAATGAATAAAAGTGATAGTAATTTTAACTTAAAGCCTGATTACACTTTCAAGAATTATTCTGTTTCTATCAGCTTATAGTAGATACCAGGAATTAAGTGTTCAAAATATTTTTCACTCTTGTGATTATTACCGTTACGTTATTAGGTCAGAGGTAAATTAGACTTTCTGGCTATTTGACCTCCCACCTTTGAATGCTAGAACTACATTCTCGTAACCCATGCATCTACTAACGAGTCTCGTCATTAATCTTCTCTGTCCCGATCTTTTCCATTTTTCGACACTCAAATCTTCACTAACTTTACTGATACTGTATGTACGTACGTACCACTATTCGATCACAACTATTCTTTCCGTTTCGAAGGGTAAGTTAATACAATGGTAATGATGATGAGTCCTATTATTTCAGTGTCCTCTGGTATCCGCTCAGAGCCAAACGGGCCAAATTTCTATATGTGGGTCATGAGGTGTGTTCATGGATGCTCGTGACTAGCAATGTCTTAGCAACGCCTTGAATTTTTTCATGGCCTATGTGAGAACGTAGCGTTCGTGAATTTTAATTCTAAAGTATATCAAAAGCGCTATTATATGGTATTGTTTAAATGAAATTTGAAAGACGTATCTATAACATTGGCGATGTAGTGAAGCGAAGATGAAATTAGTTGCGTAATTTATCTTTTCAAAAACTTACTTAGAAACATCTTCTATTTTCAAATAATACTTCAAACCGTTATTATCTAAAGTCTCGAAGAACTCCTTGGACTGTTCCGGTGAGACCATGACTTCAGCGTCTCTGACTCTGGCCATACCGTGCTGCCACATATCGACGTTCAGTTTTTGCTGGAGATTGAAGAGAGTCGCCACATCATCCTGGTCTCGAAGCTCAACACCGTAGACAGCATGTCTATTGATAAATAACAATTTTATTATTCCACTTTTCAATTAACCAAGTCAAAGGGTAAATGAAAAGGTTTCTCCTAAACATTACACTGATATCTCGAGAAAACTCTTCCTCTCTCTCTACAAACTTGAATTTAATGTCCCAGATTAGAGACGCAGCTTAGGATGATTAGTGAAACACCTCACATATCCATATGGGTCGGTAGTACCGTTTGGCCTATTTCAGTCGCAAAACCATTATGCGTTCCACATTGTAGAGCATACCAGAGGCTGCTATGATCTAGCTAAAGCCTCTATAAACTAGCACTCTGAACTAGCACTGTAGTCGTCTCATTCCATCTTTAATGGCATCTTCTTCTTCTCACGTTCTTATCTCACTTTTCGTAGTCGGTGCAGCAGAATCTCTTTTTCTATTCAGGCCTATCCTACGTCATCTGATTCTCTGCACTCACACGATTTTCATGCATCTTCTCTTTGACACAGTAATTACCAGTCTTTTTAGAAAGGCTCTCCTCACATTACCGTCCAACCTACCTTTGATATAAATAATATATGCACATTAAAAAAATTACCAAAAAAAAACACCTTTATGTTGTTAATAATAATTACTTTAGAGTTTAGAATAAAGTTAAAAAAATATTTTATACTCATCGCTCCTAGATGCGTGTACAAATTTTCAAGTTAATCATAATGTCTTGAAATGGGTGAAAATTATGTACAAATTTTCCTTAACTTACATACAAAAAAAAACGAATATGAGCATATTTAAAAAAAGTATTAAGCTTACTTCATACGGCAAAATCATAATCCGAGAATTAACTCATTACCAACACCATGCTAATAACCTACCTCGAGTAAATATCGTGTTTACCGGCGAACACGGAGCTTACTAAAGCGAGAATAACAAAAAAGCTCGTATCCATTTTAAATTTGATCATTCTCATTGAACGTTTGTCGCCTATTGATTATCATTTTAATTTCTGTGACGGATCAATATAAAATTGATTAGATTCGAATATTACGTTATTTATTAGTCTAATGATATTATGGTTTTTTATCTATCATAATTGGGCCAACGATATCTAGTGATATATAATATATAAGTGAAGCTTAGAGCAGATGAACTGATGTTAAAATAATTTCGATTAAACAAAAGGATAAAATAAGATTTACATTTGTAGAACGATGCCAGTATGTTAGCATTAAAATAATGCAGACGCGGCAGTAGTCTGGTAATCTGATTAACAGCACAATAGGTGGTAATGCAACTAGACTTTGATCAGAACGTTGCCAGTATGTTAGCATTAAAATAATGCAGACACGGCAGTGGTCTGGTAATTTGATTAACAGCACCTATTTCTGTGGTAACGCAACTAGACTGCCCTTTGAAGCATTGACGTTATACTGCTGTATATTCGAGTTTACGAATTCGTGTTTTAAATTGCATAGTGGCATTCACAATTTATGTCCATGACTTTAAACCAAAGCGCTTAAAGCCTTGGGTTTTGAGCCTCCATTGCACAATCATTGAGCACATTTATTTATTTATTTTATTGCTTAGATGGGTGGACGAGCTCACAGCCCACCTGGTGTTAAGTGGTTACTGGAGCCCATAGACATCTACAACGTAAATGCGCCACCCACCTTGAGATATAAGTTCTAAGGTCTCAGTATAGTTACAACGGGTACCCCACCCTTCAAACCGAAACGCATTACTGCTTCACGGCAGAAATAGGGAGGGCGGTGGTACCCACGGAATAGATAAATAAGGTTATTTATCTATTCCGTGGTGGTGCCTACCCGTGCGGACTCACAAGAGGTCCTACCACCAGTGATTACGCAAATTATAATTTTGCGGGTTTGATTTTTATTACACGATGTTATTCCTTCACCGTGGAAGTCAATCGTGAATATTTGTTAAGTACGTATTTCATTCGAAAAATTGGTACCCACCTGCGGGATTCGAACACCGGTGCATCGCTACATACGAATGCACCGGACGTCTTATCCTTTAGGCCACGACGACTTCCATCCATACTCGTTTTCAAGTCTTCGCCCCACTTCGTTAAAGCGGCACGATACGAGAACCCTCTCATCGTGGCCGCCGGTAACTACATTCCCGATCCTGCGGACAGAATGGAAAGGAGTCGACGTCGCCCCAAACACGTAACTTCGGATCCTCCCGATCCACTAACGGTGCTTCTAGGTACCTCAAGCACCAGTCATCGTCCTCGTCAAACCCGTTGCTTGCGACGAAGGGCTCGACGAGTAAATTAACCCTCAGACACAGCCCACTGACTTTCTCGCCGGATCTTCTCAGTGGGTCGCGTTTCCGATCCGGTGGTAGATTCTGCGAAACACGGCTCTTGCTAGGGTTCGTGTTAGCAACCTCATCAGGTTTGAGGCCCGTGAGCTCACCTACTAGTTTTAGGCTACGCTGATATAGCCTCTCAAGGCTCTCAGCTTGGGTGGGAAAAAAAACATCTCTTGAAACTCACAAGTTCTGGGATCGGCTACAGTTTTTAACGAACATCGAACAGATACAAAAGCGCATTGTTAGAGAAGTTCTCCACTTTGAACAATCGCAATTTTCCAGATACACTCATATCGTTCTTGTTATCGCAAACGCATATTACATTTTCAGACTGAATTGTTTTGAAGCAACGAGGAGCGCTCGTGATAACACGAAACCTTTGGTATGAAATCGATTCTAAAATGAAATAAGTTAAGTTTGTTGAGTTTTCTTTACCGTGATGTAGTTTAACAATAAAAAAATGAGCCGTCACGGGACGCCTGGCAGATGTGAAACATCGACATTATTTTGTAAAAGTAATATGCAGAANAACATTTTCAGACTGAATTGTTTTGAAGCAACGAGGAGCGCTCGTGATAACACGAAACCTTTGGTATGAAATCGATTCTAAAATGAAATAAGTTAAGTTTGTTGAGTTTTCTTTACCGTGATGTAGTTTAACAATAAAAAAATGAGCCGTCACGGGACGCCTGGCAGATGTGAAACATCGACATTATTTTGTAAAAGTAATATGCAGAAAAGAACAGATTGTGATAGGAACTAAATATGTCATAATGATAAGATAAAATATTACAAAAAATGATTTGTTTTCAAGTAAAACACAGGTTATGTATACTGTAGTAAACAACACTGTATACACTACGGAGTATACACTATAGGTATCCGAGCTCAATGTAGCGAGAGAGATAGCTTAACGCCGGGTCGAGTGGGAGAGAATAGCACAGTCGATTGCGCATAGCGACGCGTCGCCACGGCATGCGTCGCCACGCCAGAAATCGGTTTTACGTGCGGCTATAGATGTTTCACATCAAAAATTGGGTTAAGACACACATTGTCCTTTCTAAGCTTCTTAAAAAGAACAGAATACTTGTTTGTTCCTCAATGGGAACGATGTGAAAATTGCTTAGATGGCTGTTTTCGAAATAAATAAGTATACAAATAAAATTCTATACAAACACCCGAAACTTCTGACTCGTTTTCCGGGAAATCGCTTCCAAATTCGACCCAGCGTTGTGTATAGCAAAAATTTTATTTATGTGACACCAGACTTCATGGAACCGGAACGTAGTATAATACGTTAGTGGCAGTGATGTCAGCAATTAGACGTGCCGAAACCAAAAGTATAACTGGCCGAAAACAAAAAAACTAGAAAAAAAAACTTTGATCGCAATTTGACTTCAAAGCAGTATATCACAATTATTTTATCCTTTAATTTTACTATAAAGTAATTAGTTGATATATCCTCGTTTTCCTTCAGCCTAGCGATGAGTATTCGCAAAAATGTACCGAATTCTTGTTGTCTTAAACACAAAGCCTTTAGTAGCATTAATATTTCTTTATTATTAAGACCATATAATTTCAGTAGTCTCAAGTATCTCATTATCGACCAACTCTGCTGCGGTAGTGAATCTTTGAAATTCGAGCAGAAATGGCGATTCCCTTCCAGGTCTCCTCGTTGATGTGATCGATGAAAGAAGGCGGTACCCTGAAGCTGTAGCCGTATCCAGGCAGCTCCATGGTTAACGAGAACGGGACACCGATATGCTGTGGACAAGGATTTTGGATCAAGATTCTAAGCCATTGACATAAGCCTATACTTGCTAAATTTAAAAGTTTATTAAAAAAACATTTGTTAAATACGTTGTAACAATTTACGTAATTTTTTTTTATTGCCTTTGTAGGCAAACGAGCATACGGCCCACCTGATGGTAAGTGGTCACCGTCGCTCATGGACGTCAGCAATGCCAGGGGCAGAGCCAAGCCGCTGCCTACCATAATTGTATTGTTACGCCGGTAAGAGTAACGCCATCTATCGCCGAATAGTCGAAACGATTATCGAAGGATCCAGAATGCTCGAGAATTACAACGCCATCTATTGACAGATACGGAAACTACGACTAGAGTTGTGTGGAACATTCTCGATAATTCTAGGGATGAGGTATCGACTATAAAAGCGTTGTAGGGATGCCACGCAGTCAGTCAGTAATCGGAACTACTCGAAGCGAAACAGCGAACGGATCACCTGAAGCGAAGCGGAACAAGCGAAATGAGTGTTTTAAAGTGTCTAAATATTTTAAGTGTTGAATACAGTTTTTAAGTTGTACTTTGGTGAAATTTTTATTTATCCCGAACCCCAGTGCGTAACAGTATTAATATAACCTAATTTATAATAATAATAATTTATAAGCTATGTTTTTATATAAAGCGAGCTACCTGCAGTCAAACTGCGTAAGCAGTTTTGCGGGGCATGGTTTAAATGAAAGTGTAACTTTTTATGAATAAATATATTACACTTACTTACTTGAGTAACTTACTTGAGACCTTAGAACTTATATCTCAAGATGGGTGGCGCATTTACGTTGTGGATGTCTATGGGCTCCAGTAACCACTTAACACCAGGTGGGCTGTGAGCTCGTCCACCTATCTAAGCAATGAAAAAAAAGAAAAATACATACATACATACATTATTTGGTAAAATTGAAATTTCTACCTAATTTGTTGTTACCGTAATTTATAATAATGATAATATTTCCCCTACCTATCTACCTGTAATAGCCTCGAGGGGCGGTTAGGGCTTCACGTGGTCTCATGGATGAGCTCACGGGGCTGAACTTTGCTAATATCTGCCCTAACAATAGCAGTGCTTCGCTGAGTCTACCACCGAATCGGAATCGCGACCCACTGAGAAGATCCAGCGAGAAACTCAGCGAGTTTAAGGCTCAGTGTGAACTTTGAGTGAATAGAAACAACAGAAACTAAGTAATACTTGGAAAAATCCAGAAGCTCTCAATGTGCCTCCAAATTTAGGCTAACAAGCATACGGTATACTGTTGGTAGGACCTCTTGTGAGTCCGCACGGGTAGGTACCACGACTCTGCTTATTTCTGCCGTGAAGCAGTAATGCGTTTCGGTTTTGAAGGGTGGGGCAGCCGTTGTAACTATACTGAGAACTTAGAACTCATATCTCAAGGTGGGTGGCGGCATTTACGTTGTAGATGTCTATGGGCTCCAGCAACCACTTAAAACCAGGTGGGCTGTGAGCTCGTCCACCCATCTAAGTAATATAAAAAAAAACCAATACCAGCAACTATAATAACCTTGAAAAAATAGATCTAAGAAAATTGCGTTCTTAAATATGGAGTACACTCTAGTGTCCAAAGAATTTACGTCCTGATCTGACGCACAACAAAGGCTAACAATGTACCTCGTCAGCAGAAGTCGTATTTTGTAATAGAACCATAAAAGACATGGCCCTCTGCGAACACGCAATGTACTTTGTCTCCAATCTGCGGGATTTAGATCGAATCGCAATATAACTTGTATAGAAAAACCACTGTCTATGGTAACGTTGAATGAGTGTTAAATTTATGTAAAACTAACACACCATAA